GGGGGGGGTGGTGTTCTGTACTGTACATATGGCTCTTGAGGTCCATGTTAACAAGGTGACTGCAAGCAAGTTGTTACATTTCTTAGTAGAGGTGGGTGTAACACCGCTGAAGATATGTGTGTGTCGGTCAGTAAGACTTCTATTGTACCTGCTTTCTTATGAACGGTTATGTCAGCATTAGACTCCAGGGGTGCACACTCCATAAGTTGAAAGGAGGTGGTGGAATGTCATTACATCATACACCGTTTTTGCGGGAGAAGGAGGAGTATTTACTAGGGCTGCAGCTAACGATTATTTTCATAATCGATTAATACCGCACTTCCCCAGGGGTATTACCTCATACCCTCAATGTGGTACAATACTACCAGATAATTTCAAAGAATATAGTTATGTTAACAAAGGAACTAACTCTCGTAATGTAAAGGGACTTGTAGTTCAATTGAATTGGAGTTACAGTGATCTGACTGAAGAATACAATATTTTATGAAGGGAGCCAAGCGTGCAGATTATAGCATTGGTTAATAACACACACAAACCCTCTGTTGCTTCTTAGATATGTAGTTCACCAAGCCTGCAGACCCCACAGTCCTAGTAACCTGTTACAGCAGCAATGACACAGTCCGTACATTACGGTTATACACAGAGGTGTTGCGATTCCGCAGTGTTATATCCGCAAGACTCAGGGGATCCGATGACAGTTGCAGGCAGGTGGTGTGAGGAATTTCCAGGTGCAGGCAGGCAGTGGTGTGAGGAGTCTCTAGCTGCAGGCAGGCAATGGTGTGAGGAGGTGCAGGGAGCATGCAGTAGTGCAGAGGCACAATCAGCAGTGACAGCCAGCGAGGACGAGCAATGCCACAAGGGGGTTGCTCAGCGTTCTCAGGACAATCGTAGAACGCCGAGCATTCGTAACCCCCGTGTTTTATGATGACAGCTGGCGTGCGGGGGGAGGAGCCGCACGACGCGTCCAGTGTGTGCGGCTACGGAGTGCGGTGCGGGAACGAGCTGAGGTGAGTCTGTTACAGTGGGTAACAATTGCCTCTGTAGCTTAGCTCGAACGGGTGTTGCAGCTGCAAAAGTAAACAAGGGGAATTACTGTGTGTATGTATGTATGTATATGCGTGTATATATATATATATATATATATATATAAGGCCAACTATTGGAAATAAATCCATCACTAACCTTAAATGCACACAAAGCATCTCTTAACACTTAGGGATTTGTTTCTTTCTTTAATTCCTTATTTATTGAATAAATAAAAATATAAATCAACAGAACAACATATGATATCATTCTTCATATACAATACAACCACTTAAGGATTTTGAACGTAAGAGATAACCTCAACAAATGCCCTAGGACATATCTCTTATGTTAGCTCCCCTCTCCTTGCCACTGCTCCCCTGCTGTCATTGGTGCCAATTACCAGCTGCTAGAATGTCAGCCGGGAATTGCTTTGTATTTCATAGCAGGAGTGACTGTCAAAATGCATCCACCCGTGTGTAAAATTACACTTACAGATAGTCTTCAAGTGTCATTGAGCAATACAGTGTAACACTGTATTGTTACATTGTACTTACTATTTAATTCATTTGCAAATAAAAGTTTTGTCTGTTTACATGGAAAACATTTTTTTTAAATGTTGAAAGACAATATTGCCAAAGAAAGG